AATAGCACTTAAAAACTACATACAACTATAAAACTTCTAAAAGAAAATTTTAAAGAAAATTGTTGTAACCTCAGGTTGGGCAAAAATTTCTTAGTTATAACACTAAAAGCACAACTCTTAAAAGAAAACATTGATAAATCAGACTTCAAAAAATTTTTATTTTGCTTTTCAAAAGCAACGTTAAGAAAATGAAAAACAAGTTGTGCATTGGGCTTTTCATACCATTTACATATCATTCAACATTCTAGAATTGAAAAAAAAAAAAAAGAACTATGATATACTACAATGTACTCTACACTGAAAAAAAGATAAATAGTATGGTATAGTGAAAACAAGTAATTATGTCCACGGTCAGATGCATATAAAGCAATTTTAACAGAGCTGGTATTCTTCTTTAGCTCAGAATCTTCATAAATTCTCAAAATTTTATGCCAGCTACTCCTCGGAAACTCTATACATGGTGGTTATGGGTCGGAACGGACTCAATGCCACTTAACTACATTATGTAGATAATCAAGGACCATTCCCTATAGACTAAAGGGAATTCAACTTCTCAAATAACAAAATATTCTCAAAAAACTTGCATAGAATTTCCCCCTTACTTAAAAACATTATGTAGAAATATTACCTAGCATATAGCAGGCAGACTACAAATATTTGCTTTCTAAATGAACAAATGTGCTGCAAATTAGTAGACCATACTTTCCATAGCAGTATTTTTGTTTCTAAATTCCATTTGTCAAAAAGTGGCTGTATTTAAATATTTCCACTTACCTAATATTTAAACCAATGAAGTTTGTCCATGTGAAAATATAATCTCCACCAAAGACCATTCCAATATAAGTTATTAATATGTTCTGAAAATAAAAATAACAATATACTGTTATATAATTTTATCTGAGCTTTTAAAATAAATACACACATAAACTCAACCACACTAAATGACCCAAATACCTGTCCTTAAAAAAATCAACAGACAAAAAAAAATTAAGAAACTCTAAAATGAGTGTGGTATAAGCAAGAATTCTAATAAAGAAACAATGACATTAGCTTCTTCTCATGATATTTTTCCAGAAGACAAATGCTTTTACCAATATTGAAGAATACTAAGTGTTATCAAACTCTGCTGTCCACCTGCATGGATGCCATGATAAATCTAAATTGAGAAGTACAGCTATGTCTAGGGACAGGACGAAACACAAAGACACGTCTGGCAGTCTTAGACAAGAATGCTTTTGCTGAGCAACTGCTGACTTGTAAGGGGAGAGGGAAATAGGAAAGATTGCTTACATACAAGCAGCTATCCCTATTTTTTAATGAGGTAAAAAGGGATAGTTTAAAAACTGTTTTTAAAGAATCTTTCTTGGTGCTTTAAAATATAAGAGAAGTCATCTGTAAGTAAGCATTATACCTAAATAAGAACCACCTCTCTGACTCTACTTACTTATCTGCCTCCCTTTTCACTATCCTCAAATAGCAGAAGTGAAAAATAGTTACCAAAATTTGAACTGTTATTCAATTCTTCCCCCATCTCTCCTAATAAATTAAAACTGCCATAATCTGTAAATGCTATTACAATTGCCATAAACGTTAAATTTCAAACATTTTTAATACTTGGATTCTAGTAGATTTAATCTATGTAGTAGAAAGGAAAGTACTAGAGGGTTTTTAAAGGTCAAAAAAAGAAATCTTCAAAAAACTTTTTATAATGGGGTGCTCTCCAAGAAAATACTGAAAAACGTATCAGCCTCTTCTAGATCTAAGGACAGAAGCTGCAAGCTACCTTACAGTAGATTTTCTTATTACTAGGAAGGGAAAAAACAAAATTAAATAGCATGCAACAGCAAATAAGGCTAGTAAAGCAACTGAAGAAAATGTTTACTAGGACCTCTTGTTTTTCCTATTTCTATAATGAGAAAAGGCTGCCACTCCTTTGAACGCAGGTTATCTAAAGAGAGGCTGGGTTAATTTGCATTAAGCTACAAGGAAATTCAGAGTGGGAAAGGACAGAAAACTCAAATCTTGTTGATCAAAATCAGAAGTTAGAAAGCCTGAAGGTATATATTAAATTCACTGCCTTGAAGTCAATTCCAACACCTGCTGACCCTGTAGGACAGAGTAGAACTGCTCCATAACGTTTCCAAGGCTGTGACTAAGGAAGACTGTAAAAGAATTGAATGCTTTTGAGTTACGGTGTTGGAGGAGAGTATTGAAAGTGCCATGGGATGCCAAAAGAACCAACAGATCCATTTTGGAAAAAATGCAGCCAGAGTGCTCCTTGGAGGTCAACATGGTCAAACTTCGTCGCTCATACTTCAGACATATTGTCAGGAGGGGACCAGTCCCTGGAGAAGGATATCATGTTTGGTAAGGTGGAAGGAAGGTCAGAGAAAAAGAGGAAAACTCCCAACGAAATGGACTGGCCAAGTGGCAGCATCGATGCCCAGGATCCAGGATGCCCAGGATCAGGCAGTGTTTCGTTCTGCTGTGCGTAAGGTCGCTATGAGTTGGTATCGACTCGATGGCACCTAACAACATCAACAAATCTTCCAGAAGTAGATTGCTTCATCTTTCTCCTGAGTAGCAGCAGGTGGCACCAACCCTTCAGTTAGCAGCCTAATGCCTAACTCACACTCTACCACCAGAGCTCCTTAAGATACATAATAGGCTATCCTAACACTATGAGTTATGAAGTTCTAGTGTTGCACTGTGGGATAAAGCACTGGACTACTATCATCAAGGTTGGCAATTCAAACACACCAGCCGCTCCTCAGAAACCCTATACAGGGGTCGCTATGAGTCAGAATGACTCAATGGCACTTATCAACAAGAACCACAACCAAGATTTCATCTCAGGAGCACTGGATCTTAAATTCTAAAGCACTTGTTTACAAAAGCAAAGCCTAACTCCATTTAGAGTCCTGTGCAATGCTTGCTAACCATGAAACCAACAACGTGGCTATGCTTAGACAAGTCTGGGACAAGTCCTGGGAAAGGCAATTTGCCTTCAGGAAGAAAGTGGCTGACAGAGGTGCTCAAATGAGAACTAGCCTGGACATTTACAAAAGTAGCCATTGAGACTCCTGTTTTCTAAGTTAAAGACTACATTATAAGTCAGATTCTAACCACCATGTAGCAAGGTAATCAGTACCCCAGAACCAACCCTGTAACTTTTTTAACCATGAGTTGTGTACATATGCCACTTTGGTACTTTCTCTGCTTTTCTAATCCTGCCTATGGCAGTGATGGATTGGCCTGTCATCAATCATGATCTTGTAATGATGTCCTTTGTTCTCTCTCAAATATATGAAAATCATAGTTGTGAGTCAGTGGATTCCATAGGTCTCTGCACTGTATGCATGCTGACAGTTTCCCTCAACTGGGTGATTTTATTTGTTTTGTCTTTGTCCTGTTTACCGTTTAATAAAAGGGTCTCTATAGAACATGTCTGAAAAAGTTATTATGGTATAGTGAACTATGCACTGGGCTGCTAACTGCATGGACAGCAGTTTGAACACACCAGCTTGTCTGTAGGAGAAAGATGAGGCTCTCTGCTCTCATAGACTGGCAGGCTAGGAAAACCTAGGGAGTAGTTCTACTTTGTCCTACAGGGTTTCTATGAGTCAGAATCAACTCAAATGGAAGTGTGTATAAAACATGTTTGAATCTGGGGTCTTTTTCCCCTAGCACATAGGAAAGGACACCAACTTCCCCAAAGGAGAAATTGCAAGTAAGCACCAAACCAAACTAAATCCACTGCCATCAACTTTGGATTTCTAACGCTATAAATTTTTATGGATGCAGAAAGCGTCATCTTTCTCCCTCAGTGCGACTGGTGGGTTTGAACTGTCAACCTTGTGGTTAGTGTTGGAGTCCTGGTGTGGCACTGTGGGCTAATGCATCAGACTGCAAAGTCATTTGAACTGCAGCGTCAGTGGTTCAAGCTCACCGGCTGCTCCTTGGAAACCCTATACAGGGTCGCTATGGGTCAGAATTGACTCGACAGCACTTAACAACAACAACAGCCTAAGCCATTTTCTGATTCAGTATATCTGCACTGGTATGGGGCTGTAGGCTAAGTACTCAACCAAATGCAGGTTTGAACTGCATGGTTGGCAGTTCAAACTCACCGGCAATTCCTCAGAAACAAAACACAGGGTTGCTATGAGTTGTAACCAACTCAATGGCACTTAACAAAAACAACAACATCCTAAGCCATTTCCCCACCACACTTAAGAGAAACAAGGAATGCTATCCAAGGGTTTGTGGTGTTGGAAACCTTAAACACAGAAGAAAGTGTAAAGCCTCTTGGGAAACAATGGCTGAGCTAAGGGAGTCACGACAGAGATGCTGTTATAGATTGAACTATGTCTCCCCAAAATATCCACCGTAAATCCTAGCCCCTATGTTGTTATGTGGAAAAAGAAGATGGAAAA